AGATAAAAAAATAAAAATTGAAATAAAAAAAAAAATAATTTCAAAATAAAGAAAAAATAATTACTTTTAATTCCTTCAATGTCTTGCCGGTTTTTCATTGTTCTGTTTTTTTTTTTTGATTTTTTTTGTAAAAAAATTAGAATCTGAACCATTTAAAATAAGAATTCAAAAAAGATATTGTATGAATGATGCAGGTGATACACGCAATGAGGACAATTTGTAATATTTTTTTTATAAAAGAATTAAGAAAAATAATTAAATATAATATTAAAGTTGAAATAAATTGTTGTATAAGAATAGAATACACTTAAAAGAAAACAAATTGTATATTTTTTATTATTAAAAAAAATTAAAAATAAAACATAAAATAAATAAATTGTTGAGGTGGAGAGTAAGGGTCTTCCAAGGATACAGAAATATCTGCGGACCAACTTTCCGTAGAGAAAAAACTGAAGTTACCCTGAGACGTTTATTCGTATAAACAATTTTCGTACAGAAAAAAAATCTCCGAAGACTCAGCAACACAGAGCCTTTTTCAAGGACCATCAAAGGCGGGGGCTTGTTTAAAGAATATTTTTTCAATGTACCCTAAGGCGTTCATTTATTAAAGAATTGTTTTCAAGGACAAATAAGGCGTGGATTTATTAAAGATTTTTTTCAAGGACAAATAAGGCGTGGATTTATTAAAGATTTTTTTCAAGGACAAATAAGGCGTGGATTTATTAAAGATTTTTTTCAAGGACAAATAAGGCGTGGATTTATTAAATTTTTCAAAAGACTCTCAGAAGGCGTGGATTTTTTAAAGAATATTTTTCAAAGGACTCTCAGAAGGCGTGAGTTTTTTAAAAAATATTTTTCAAAGGACTCTCAGAATGCGTGAATTTTTTAAAGAATATTTTTCAAAGGACTCTCAGAAGGCGTGGATTTTTTAAAGAATATTGTTCAAAGGACTCTCAGCGGGCGTGGATTTTTTAAAGAATATTTTTCAAAGGACTGTCAGAAGGCGTGGATTTTTTAAAGAATATTTTTAAAAGGACTCTCAGAAGGAGTGGATTTTTCAAAGAATATTTTTCAAAGGACTCTCAGAAGGCGTGGATTTTTTAAAGAATATTTTTCAAAGGACTCTCAGAAGGCGTGGATTTTTTAAAGAATATTTTTTTCAAAGGACTCTCAGAAGGCGTGGATTTTTTAAAGAATATTTTTCAAAGGACTCTCAGAAGGCGTGGATTTTTTAAAGAATATTTTTCAAAGGACTCTCAGAAGGCGTGGATTTTTTAAAGAATATTTTTCAAAGGACTCTCAGAAGGCGTGGATTTTTTAAAGAATATTTTTCAAAGGACTCTCAGAAGGCGTGGATTTTTTAAAGAATATTTTTCAAAGGACTCTCAGAAGGCGTGGATTTTTTAAAGAATATTTTTCAAAGGACTCTCAGAAGGCGTGGATTTTTTAAAGAATATTTTTCAAAGGACTCTCAGATGGTGTGGATTTTTTAAAGAATATTTTTTTCAAAGGACTCTCAGAAGGCGTGGATTTTTTAAAGAATATTTTTCAAAGGACTCTCAGATGGCGTGGATTTTTTAAAGAATATTTTTCAAAGGACTCTCAGAAGGCGTGGATTTTTTAAAGAATATTTTTCAAAGGACTCTCAGAAGGCGTGGATTTTTTAAAGAATATTTTTCAAAGAACTCTCAGAAGGCGTGGATTTTTTAAAGAATATTTTTCAAAGGACTCTCAGAAGGCGTGGATTTTTTAAAGAATATTTTTCAAAGGACTCTCAGAAGGCGTGGATTTTTTAAAGAATATTTTTCAAAGGACTCTCAGAAGGCGTGGATTTTTTAAAGAATATTTTTCAAAGGGCTCTCAGAAGGCGTGGATTTTTTAAAGAATATTTTTCAAAGGACTCTCAGAAGGCGTGGATTTTTTAAAGAATATTTTTCAAAGGACTCTCAGAAGGCGTGGATTTTTTAAAGAATATTCTTAAAAGACCCTCAAAAAGCGTAGATTTTTTAAAAAATATTTTTCAAAGGACTCTCAAAAGGCGTGGATTTTTTAAAGAATATTTTTTTGAAAGGACTCTCAGAAGGCGTGGATTTTTTAAAGAATATTTTTCAAAGGACTCTCAGAAGGCGTGGATTTTTTAAAGAATATTTTTCAAAGGACTCTCAGAAGGCGTGGATTTTTTAAAGAATATTTTTCAAAGGACTCTCAGAAGGCGTGGATTTTTTAAAGAATATTTTTTGATGAGGTCACAAGGCATGAACTCACATGTCCGGGATTTAAAAAAAAAAAAAATATATATATATTTTTTAAAGAATAATCGAGTCTGCATTTAAAAAAAAATTTAAGAAATCACAAATCCTGGAAATTTATGAAAATATTTTTTGAAGAATTCACAAATCCTGGACAAAAATACCCCTCTGTTGTCAAAAGACCTCTCGAAGTTCTATACATAAAAAAGTAATTGTTTTGCATGTCTATAAGCCTAAAGTAGGCGCCACACAGATCATATATAGATAGTAGAATAAATCGAAATTATTCTACGGAGTCTTTTCGAAGGACTCCTAAAGACTGCCGAACTCTCAAACATACCGAAGGTCTTTAATAGAGAATTCACAAATCCTGGAATTTTATAAAAATATTTCTTGAAGAATACACAAAGTCTGGATTTTTTAAATAAACTTAAAGAACTAAAAAGTGCTGACTTTTGTAAGAAAAATATTTTGAAGAACTCGGAAGGCGTGGATTTGAAACAAATAATTTTGGAAGGGCCCAAATATACGATTAAAAGTTATCCTGAAGAGGTATATTAGGTCTGAAAAGATATTCTGTCTATAGAAGAATACATATAGACAGAAACCTTTATCGTTTTTCAATTACTTCCAAACGTTCTCATCATTTGAAGACCCCTTTTGTCAACCTCCATAAAAATAAAAAAACAACAACAACAATAAAATTAAAAAATAAATTAAATTCAAGAAACCCAAAAAAAAAAAAGAAAAAACGAGGTGAAAGAAAAGAAAACCATTTCGTTTACACTTTCAAATTGAAATACACGATTTCAATTTCAAACAAAATTACAAAAAAAAAAAGAAGAAGAAAACAGTATCGAAGTATACAAAAAAACTTACCTTTGGAAATTTTGTCTTTTTACATAATTCTCACGAACAAAATCAATAATTTGCTTTTGTGTACGACCGCTATAACTAAAAATGTTTACAAGCAAAAAAACGAAAAATTGAAAACAAATTAATATATTTTTTGGTTAAATATATAAACAAACAGATTACAGATGGTGAATTTGCATGGTTGAACATTTGATGGGATTCAGAGACAGGGGTGGGTGGGGTTGTAAAAATTGTACTTAACAATTAACATAGAAAACAACTCCTCCGGAGAATACTTACCGAAATGAACTGCCACGTGACATGACACGGGCCTTACGCCGGGGCGTACTTTGTACCACTGTGCAACGGAAGAAACCATGATTTTCAACACATTTTTTCCAAAAGTTTTTACACTGATTACGACCGGGAAATAGAAATTCCACGGTGTTATTATAGTAACCCTGAAAGAGAGGAGAGGGGAAGGATATTCAATTTAGAGATCAAATTAAATTTCTCTGGATCTACTCACATAACCCTCGGGATGTAATTTAACTAGGAATCGTTTTCGCTTAAATGATATTTTCCGTATCTTAGCCCATGAGAATGTATTGATGCGTGTTAGATTCTGGAAGACTGCTATACCCATATGAGCTACAGATAGATTTAATGGCATATCATCGTGATCCTTGGCCGGATGCATTTTCATGCCATATAATTCACAACGTCTGGCCGTTTCTAAGAGATTTAAATCGGCCTCAGCTGGGGATTGGCCACTGTAATGGGAAAACATTTAATTTATTTTAGTAAAGGATCTCTAGGGAAGGTACTTCGGTACTTACACATGTTTCTTGTGATTTTCCATAATTTTGATTTGCATGGCCTCATCCTGATTTGGTACAAAACGATACGATGACAAGTATGTGTGATCGGGATAATCTTCAGCCACATAATCACCACACGAAGCCTGAACAATATAACTGGCCATAAGGGCGGCGGTATTTTCATTACACTGTAGACTACCTGTGGCAAGGTCACGTTTTATTTGGAGGCAAAAGAGATACCTATAGAGAGAGGAAGAGAAAGAAAGAAATTAATACAACAATCACAACCTGATTAGGACTCTCATAGAGGTCCTAGATATTTTTGTCAATGGGAAAGACAGGCCTCAGTAGAGCTGAGGTTCTAGAAATTTTTTGCTATAGAAAAAAATAGACCTCAGTGGAAATGAGATTCTAGAGATTTTTTCTATAGAAAACAATAGTCATCAGTAAAGCTGAGATTTTTTTCATAGAAAAATAGCCTTCAGAGAGTGCTATAGATCTGTGCAAAAAATTTCCCTCGAGATTTTTTCTATAGAAGAAATTAGCATCATAGTAACTGTGGTCCTTGAGATTTGTTTCAAAGCTTCACTGACATTGAAGCCTTAGAGATTTATTCTATAGAAATAAAGGACTGGATGGAACAGAGGACTGGGAGTTTTTTTTTTTTTTTTTTTTTTGTAGAAAATAGCTTCTAGAATTCCTTTTCCCTTGAAAAAAACCTTAAATAGAACGGAGGTCCTAGAGATTTTTTCTATAGAAAAAATAAGTCTTAGTGTAACTGTGATCCTTGAGATTTGTTTCTATAGAAAAAATCCTTAAAATAGCTTCTAAAAAAAGACTCACTGGATAGAAAAAAGACTCCTAAGATAATTTTCTATGCGACAAAAATGAGAAGCAGAGGTTCTTCAGATTTGTTCTCCACAAAAAGGCCACAGTGAAACTGTCTCAGCTGGCTTCAATAGAATTGACGATCGAGAGATTTTTCTATTAAAAAATATGCCCTAGATAAGCTGAGTCTAAAGAAATATTTTCTCTACAAAAAGAGACCCGAGAAGCAGAGCTTCTACAGATTTTTTTTCTCTACAAAAAAGGCCTCACTGAAACTGAGTCTTCCCTGATATTTATCCATTTTTTTCTGTAGAAAAAAATAGTCTCTGTGTAACTGAGGCCCTAGAGGTTTCCTTTTTTAAGGAAAAATTATCAAAAGTGTAATAGAGGTCCTGCAGACTGTTTTGTTTAAAAAACGCTTCAGAGGAATAGAAGACTTCTTATATTTGGAGAAGTCCTTGCGCAGCCTACAGGAGGCCCCTAGCAGGTCTTATATGGACGATAGAGGTGTTCTATGCGCAGAAGCCCTATATAAATAGGGCTTCTGCTGTAGTAAGCGGGCCTCTACTATAAACAGTACACCTTTCGTAGGTCTTCTATAGACAGAGGGCTTCCGTTCTGAACTTCCCAAAGCTCTTCCATATACATTAGTCTTTCGATCATCTGTCGACAGTAGAATAAATCAAAATTATTCTAGGACTTCTCAAAGATCTACTCAATATTCTTCTATAGACAGTAGAACTATCGAGGGTCTTCCATAGATAGAGGATTTTGGAACCAGACCTCCCGAAGGTCTTTTATAGACACAGAAAACAGAAGACCCTCGAAGTTATTATTATGACAGAGAACCTGTTGAAATTTTTCTATAGACAGAATATTTCCAGAAGTTCATTTTACGACAGAAGACCTCTCGAAAGTCTTCTATAGACAGATCTCTCGAAAGGTCTTCCATAGACAAATGACGTTTCGAAGTTCTTCACTAAACGGACCTACAAACCGAAAACCTCTAGAAATTTGTTTATGGACAAAGGATCTTTCGAAATTCTTCTATAGACGGAAGGTCTCTCGATGTTATTCCAAGGTCAGAGAACCTCTTAAAGTTCTTCTATAGAGGGAGAACCTCTCCAAGGTCTCTTATATACAGAGGACCTCTTTATGTTCTTCTATGTACAGAAAATCTCTCAATGTTACTCTATGGTCAGAGGACCTCTAGAAGGTTTTTTATAGACAGATGACATCTCGAAATGTTTCTATAGACAGAGGACACTTTGAACTTCTTCTATAGATATTTTTTATATACAGAGGACTTTCGAAGTTCTTCTATATACATTGGACCTTTTGAAGTTCGTCGTTATTTTACAGACAGAAAATCTCTCCAAGTTTTTCTATAGACAGGGAATCTTTTGAAGTTGAAGAGAATACCTCTCGAAGTTATTCTAAACAGAAGACAGCTCGAACAGGGAATCTCTCAAAGCAATTCTATAGGCAGAAGACCTCTCGAACTTATTCCATAGATATTTTTTAATAGACAGAGGATTTTCGAAGTTCTTCTATAGACGGGGTATCGCTCAAAGTTCTTCTATAGACAAGGAATCTCTTGAAGTTCTTACATGACAGGGAACCTCTCAGTGATTTTATGGTCAAAAATCTATCTCAAAGGTCTTCCTTAGGAATAATACGTATAAAAAGGTCTGGGCATCGTGAAATACCAAAGAAAAAGGCTAAGACCCCCGGAAATCAACAGCTCCCACAGAAAAATGCAGGCAATCCTAAGAGAGTTTCTAGAGGGTTAAAGACCTCTCACAAATGTATTTTTGATGGTGTAGTCTCTAAAATTTGTTCAGCTTCTATTTTCTATTCCTTTTTTTTCTGTTTTCGCCAACCCTACCACTTCCAGCAGCGATGAATCTGGTGTATAGAATGCGTATATGAAAAACGCTTCTGACAAGATAACCCGCCTAAAAAAGCCTGAGTTACGATGGTGCTCCAGAGATGCCCAAGAAAGAAACGTATACGAAAAACGCTCCTGACACGATGGTAACCCCCCCTAGATGTTTTCTATAAAAAACCTGAGCGACGATGGGGCTTTAGAGATGCCCAAGAAAAAAGACTAAGGCTCCCGATGTTTTTTCTATAGAAGAAATATCCAAATAATCTAAATCTTCCATAGCAAAAGACAGGCAATCTCTCAGAGAATTCCTAGAAAAAAACCTCTCTCAGGTTTTTTAAAGGTTCAGGACCTCTAAAACTTCTTCTAATTCCATGTTCATAAAAAATATATATCCTTATTTCAGAAAACTTACCTCGTATATTCCTCCTCCAGCTGTGATGGATCTGGTGTATAGAATTTAACGCAAAACCTTAACATCGGATCGACAAGGGATAGGCCAACCTGGCGATTAAGCGACTTTTCCAGATCTAGCCAATATTTGGTTTGTGTGGTCTTCTCCTGATATTCCAGACCGAAATAGTCCGATTCCAAGAGATTTAGTTGGCGGCAGACTTGTTCGAATAGTACGCGACCCAGTGCTTTGGCCTATAAAAAGGAATAGAGAAAATGATTAAAAATTGGCTTATTTTAAAGAAGAAAACCTAGAGAATTTTCTATTAAAAAATGTGACCCAAACACGTTGAACCTGCGCTGTCCTAGACCAGAGAAGTAAAGGTTCGCCAGATTTCTTTATCTACAAAAAAGGACTTACAAAAAGTGAGTCTTCCCTGATTTTCTCGAAATTTTTTCTATAGAAAAAATAATATCTGTTTAATTGAGGTTGTAGAGTTTTTTTTTATAAAAAAACTATCCTCGAAAAAAACTATATTCGAGATTTTATCTATAAAAAAAAATATCCTCAGTAGAACCGAGAAGACTTCCCGAGGGTCTTCTATAGAAAGTGGGTCTCTGCTATAGATATTTAAGGTGTTAATATGCCAGCCGCTTATATTTAACATATTTAAAACATTAATTTATTTTTTCCAATGTTTGTTATTGTTGTTACTAAATTGTTTAACTGCCTGTAAAGGCCTTAATTAAAATCTCGTCATGGAACCAAACACCACACCATTGGGAGAGCTATTTAACAAACATAGCCCCTTCTTCCCCCCACACACGGAGAGTTCCAGTGTGCTAATGGCAATGCTGCAGTTGCTGCCTCGATTTTTTGTTGTTGGGTTTTTGTTGTTGTAAATTTGCATCATTCCCGTCATAGCTGTGGCACACTTCACTGCACAGCATTCCAAAATAGAGTATTAAATTACCGCTGTTATTGTTGTTGCTGTTGCCATCTCTTTAATTAATTTGTTCTCAATTGGTTCAATGTTGTTGTTATTAATCGAAATGAAACATTAAATAAATATGCAATGACAACAACAAGAACAATAACAATCATATGGAATGCATAAATTTTTAATGGAGGCCCATTTCAGAGATTCAATCAAAGTTGAAGATGGCACGAATGTGTGGCCAAAGCCATTCTAATGATGGCTGGGAAATTAATATGACAATATTTGTATGTCTTTGACAATAATTACCGTTGTATCGGCAATTTACAACAATTCACTTGTTTCACATGGTCGGTTGTTCGGTTGTTCTTTCTACATTCCTTTCTGTTTCTTTAAATAAAAATGTAGGTCAACTGTTTGTTGTTGTGGTTGCTGTTATTGTTGTCGATGACAAATCTGATGACATCAAATGAAATATTTGCTTCCAATAACAACCTTCCGAATACTGGGCATAACAAATTGGTCATTGAAGTGGTCGTCTTTAATCGATTTGTTGTCGTCAAGTCACGGCAATTAAGTTTCATTGGTAGAGAGCTGAAGACCACATCAATGTAATTGTTGCAACATGGGGTCCAAAAGTATATTTTTATTTATAGATGTGTGTCACGCAATGACATTTATTCAGGAAAAGGCACTAATAATTTAAATCGAAATGTCCTTTAAGTAAAAATCGAAATCTCCAAACAAGTAAAAAAGAAAATATCATTAAGTTCGGCCGGGTCGAGATTTTTATATCCTCCAACCTTGGTGTACATTCACAATTTCGTTAAATTGATCGGTGCATTTACATAGGGACTATGTTATTGCCTTATGAGGTAGTATGTTGTTCCCGCATCCATATAATTAAAATGTTTATCTTACAATAAAAACTATCACATTGATCCAACGGGCCACCCTGACATTAAATCCTGTGTACGTGTCTGGTGGGACTTTTTTGTGTGGGCTTTATGGAAATTTAAACCTTTAAAGAAAATTTTTGCAAAAATCAGTTTTACCCTCCAATATCCTGGAATGCAAAATTACAGCCACTACAATGGGAAAATGGGCCTAAGACCCTAAAAATACTAACATCAACGCTCTAATTCCATATTAAAAGATGGACCTATATTCCATATTTTCTGTACATATGTAAGGCAGACATGTCCAGCCATTTAATAGAAAATTACAATCACATAGGTGGGAAAATGCGGCTAGAGCCTTGAGAATATCTAAAATTGGTCATAGTATCTAATAAAAAAAAATCCATAGGTATGTTTTTTTCTACTGGAAAATTTCTCAGATTTCTCAGTTCTCTGAGGTGTCTTCTTTCAATAGAAAAAAATCCTCAGTTCCCTGAGGTGTCTTTTTTTCTATAGAAAAAAGTCCTCAGGCCACTGAGGTGTCTTTTTTATAGAAAAAAAAATAGGTCAGAGTATCTAATATGGGAGCTGTACCAAAATTAGAACCAATTCATTTGAAAAACATGTCCAAACCTCCAAAAAACGATAAAATACCGATATATTGGGTTATCCTTTTTGGTAGAGGGGGTTGTCCTTTAGGAGATTTCCTGCTCAGGCTTCTGAGGTGTGATTTTTCTATAGGAATATATTCCTCAGGATCCTCAGTTTTCATTCATTAATTTTTAGGTAAGATTAACTTTTCAGGCAAACATGGCGATTTTTCCAGACCTCCAGGACCAGAGAAAATTCTTTCTATAGAAAAAACACACCTTAAGGCTTGAGGTGTCTTCATAGTCCTTGGGGATGTCTTTCTTCTGTATAAAATATTTCTCAGGCTTCTAAGTTGTCATTTTACTATAGAAAAAATTCATAGGCCCTGAGGTAGGTTTTTTTCTACTGGAAAATTTCTCACATCTCTGAGGTGTCTTCTTTAACAGAAAAACAAATTCTCAGTTCTCTGAGGTGTCTTTTTTCAATAGAAAAAAATACTCAGTTCCCTGATGTGTCTTTTTTCTATAGAAAAAAGTCCTCAGGCCACTGAGGTGTCTTTTTTTATAGAAAAAAATTAGGGCCAATTCAGTTGAAAAACGTGTCCAAACCTCAAAAAAAAAAAAAAAAAACGATGAAATACCGATATATGGGGTTATCCTTTTTGGTAGAGGGGGTTATCCTTTGGGAGATTTCCTGCTCAGGCTTCTGAGGTGTATTTTTTCTATAGGAAGACATTCCTCAGTC